TCTGATGAACCTGCATGCAACATATTTTTTTTAACTCTTTAATTACATAAGTATTAAATGTCTCCCTTAATAACTTTTAAATGAATTTAATTACATAAGTATTAAATGTCTTCCTTAATAATTTTTAAATGAATTATGTATTTCCGGATTATAATATCACTTTCATTGGATTTGACTTCTCTTCATTTCTCTTTTTTTTTTCTTTTTAAATTCTAACTTGGATTTGACACATATTATAATTTAAAATTAATGATTAAGATTTAATTAATTAAAACAAAGTCCTAATTATAATTATTTACTTCCATATATTTGTTAAATATATTTGTAATCCATTATATTTTCTTAAAATATATTAACAACTTTTCCTAATTGTCATGCATACATATTTAAAACTTTTATTAAATATTTTACTTTTTCTTTAAAAAAAATTATAAAAGATTTTTATTATTCTAATAGAGTATTAAGAGCTACAAAGTCTATAGAGCAATTTTAGGAAATTAAAAGAATTGAAAATTGAGTGACAAAATTTATTTACTCCTAAAATTTAAAAGATGTCAGTTATAATTTTTATTTTTTATTTGGCAAATATTATTTAAGAAATGATAAACATCAGGAAAAAAGTAAAAAAAATACTCAAATAATAAATAAAAAAATTCTTTTAAATATATTTAGGAAAAATATTATGTAAATCTAGAATAGTTGGATTGCAAAAGTATTTAAGACCCCAAGGAAAGTTCGAAGCTTCAACTTCGATGAAAAATGAATGGCAAGAGCCAGAAAATAAAAATGAAAATTTTACAAATAAATCAAAAACAAATAATGATTTTACAAAAAAATATCATAACAATGATAAATCAAGATTTATGCCTAATAGACTACCTACAGGAGATATTAGCATACAATTCTTAGATTTAGAATGTAAAAGAAATTCAGAAAATAGCCTAGATCTTTGGTCTCAAAATATGTTAATGTATTTCCTATTAGGAAAAGGAAATTATACAGATGAAGAAAAATATTTCATAATGATAAATACCTTTACTGGAAAGGTAAATGATTGGTTTTCAGGATTAACTGAAGATGCTGAAAATATAATTAAAAATGATACCTTAGAAGGATTAAAAAATTCTTTGCAAGAAGGTATAAATAACCTTAAGCAATATATTACAAATGAATTCTTTGGGGGACAAGGAAGTGAAAAGGAAAACAAAGAAATAATAAAAAATTTAGCAAAAGAAAAATTAGAAAAATTACAGATATGTAAAATGAGTTATATTCGAGAATACACTTGTGAATTCGAAGAATATTATTATAAAATATTTGATAGTGGTAAAGAAATGTTACCTTATTTGGAAAAATACTATCAAAAATTTCCAGGCTTTTGGGCCAAATATTTTAGAGAAGAATATGAAAAAAAAATATGAAAGGAGATACTCTTGGACAAAGAATAAGTTTCCTAAATAATTAGGGCAATTATGTATGTCACATAATATACAAAGAAAAGCTAAAAGAATTAATACCAAATTTATTGTAAAGACACACAGGCATCTACTCAATGGGGATGTGAAGATAGACCATATAAAAAGAAAAAACAACTCAAGAAAGGGTTAATTAAAAAGAAAAATTTCACTAAACAAAATTATATACCAAAGAAGAGGTATTATAAAAAGAAAAGAGAATTTACTAAAACTAAAAATAAATGTAAATGTTACAATTGTGGAGAAGAAGGACACAAAAGTTATGAATGTAATAAGAAGAGAGTAAAAATCTCAAAAATAGATAGATTAGAAATAGATTCAGATTTAGAATCTATAAAATCTATAAATAGTGATGATTTCTTTGAAGAAATTTATGAAGAATATTCAACTAGTTCAGAAGAGTCTGACTAAATGAATAAAGAATTACAAGAAAAGGAAGATTCTGTACAAATATTGGATACAGAAGAAGATCATCATGGATATGCTTTAAAAGCAACTTTCGATGGAGAAATATTTAAGAAAATCCAAGGATTAAAACTAAATCTTAAAACAGAAGATAGCTTATTAAGCAGAATGCAAAGGATTTTCACAAGAGACAAAATCTCTTATCATGAATATCAAGAAGTTGAAAAGGTAATAGAAATTACCCAAACTGCAGGAAAACATAAGTTAAACTTATTAACAAAACCAATGATAAATCAAATATTAAGAAAAATTCCTGAAAAGAAAAGAAAGAAAATGAATTACGTTCATCTAGGAGGAATTCAAATATTAGTTAAATCAACCTTTAAAGAAGGAATAAATTGTTCAATAGTGATAAATTTATCCGATGAAAGATTTATGAACGCAAGAGAAGGAAATCTTGGTATAGTGGAAGGAAATTTAGCTTACACTAAGCTTTTATTCACTTATTACCCAAGATATTGTATATCACTAAAAGACGCTGATTTTAATGATGCATTAAGTCTACATTTCCAGATCAAAAGAAATGATCTATTTAAACCAGGAAATCATATAATGAGTATATATTACCAGGCATTATACACAGTTACAAATTCAAATTATGGAAATGTGTATAAAAATAAAAAACCAATTGAAATAGATCAAGAATGCGAAGGAATTGCTAGAATTATAGAAGCAGAAATTCAGCAAGCACAAATTCCTGACGAATATGAAATCCGATTTGGAAAAACACATGAAATAGGAAGTACTAGTAATCCTAGACTTTCATTAGAATATGGAAAAAATACCATTAGAAAAAGTATATCTAATAGGTATTCTATAAAAAATCAACATTCAAGTATATTGAAAATAAAAGAAAGAATTTTCAATGGATTAGAATGGAAAAATCAGGATATACTGATACAAATAGGAGCAACTGCTAATCATATAAAAGAATATCTTATAAATGGATTAACAGTTTATGAAGGAGAACAATACGTATACAAAACCTTTGAAGGTAATAATTTCAGCTGTAAAAATATGGTAGATTTACCAATACAGCTAGATACAATAAGAATAACAGTTCCTTGTTATATTATAAATCATGAAAGTAACCAAGAAATAATTTTGGGAAATTTATTTCTAAATAATTTAGAAGATTATAACATCGGAAAAGATGGAATAGAAATGATTTATAAAAATGAAACTTGTTTCATAGCAAAAATATAAATGCCAAAAGAAACAATCTTTAAAGTTTCGGTTTTTATAGAAATAACAATTTATGATACAAAATTGACAACTTGTTGTCAAATAGATAATGGATCAGAAGCAAGTCTAGATAAGTCTTTTTTAATAAAAGATTGGACTTAAATAAAAATAATATCTCTATGATAGGAATCACAGGAGATAAAGAAAAATTAACAAAATCTAAAGAAAAGGTAGAAATAATTTTAGGATAAAAAATTGTTTCTATAAGTAAATTGTTTGCCTATGATAAACTGGAAACAGATTTATTATTAGGAAATGATTTCATACAACAATTTCAAAATTATCAACAAACATTATATATGATAAATTTGAAAACACCTTGCGGACATTACATAAAAGTCCCAAGAATACAAAATGTTTATAATCTTGAAAAAGATAAAGATAAATATAAAAGAAAGTATTTAGATAACTTAAGAAAAATTACTTGCAAATGTCTTAATTTAGAAAAAATTAAGGAAAATTTACAAAAGTCATATGGAGAAAATCCATTAGAAAAATCGGAACAAAGTCATGAAAGAGCAATTTTAACACTAAAAGACCCAAACATAATAATTAGGGTAAGACCTATGTTATACAACGAAGAAGATAAATTGAAATTTAAAATCCAAATTAATGAGTTACTAAAATTAAAACTCATAAGAATGAGTAAAAGTCCTCATAGTAGTCCAGCATTCTTAGTAAGAAATCATGTTGAATTAAAAAGAGGAAAAGCAAGAATGGTGATAAACTATAAAGAGTTAAATAAAAATTGTTTATTTGATGAATATTTTATTCCAAATAAAAACAATTTAATTAACCTTGCAAAAGGAAAGACTTATTTTTCAAAATTTGACTGTAAAAGCGGATTTTGGCAAATAAAATTAGAAGAAAATTCAGTTAAATTAACTGCATTTAGTACTACTAATGGACATTACGAATGGTTAGTAATGCCTTTTGGATTAAAAAACGCACCACAAATATTTCAAAGAAGAATGGATAAAATCTTCTCAGAAGATAATTATTTAATAGTATACATTGATGATATACTAATATGTTCTAAAACATATGAAGATCATTTAAAACATTTTAAAAAAAAAAATTCAGAAAAATGCTTAAAGAATGGAATAATTCTAAGTCAGAAAAAAGCAGAGAAAAATAAAAACGAAATAGAATTCTTAGGAATGATTATTTCGAAAAATGGAATTGAACTACAATTGCATATAGCTAAAAAGATTATAGAATTTCCTGACAAGCTTACAACAAAACAAGAAATCCAGAGATTTTTGGGTTGTTTGAATTATGCAGGGGAATTTATACAAGATTTAGCAAAGAAAAGAAATATACTTCAAAAATTGATAAGAAAAACCAACAGACTAGGTTGGACAGAAGAACACACTAAGTGTGTAAAAAACTTAAAAGAAGAATGTGCAAAATTACCCAAGTTAAGACTACCACAGGAAAGTGATAATCTAATTCTACAAACAGATGCTTCAGATTATCATTGGGGTGCTATTTTGCAAACAGATCTAAATGAAATCTGCAGGTACACAACTGGTACATTCAATAATGCAGAAACAAGATATTCAACAAATGAAAAAGAACTATTAGCAATCGTAAAAGGAATTAGAAAGTTTTCTACTTTTGTTTTACCGAAACCATTCATTATTAGAACTGATAACACACAAGTTGCAGAGCTAATAAACAATAAATTGCCTTCTGAACCTCAATACAGGAGACTTCATAGATGGCAAGTATTATTATCTTTTTATACTTTTTCAATTGAATATATAAAAGGAAATGACAATTTTCTTGCAGATTTCCTATCAAGAAACGTCCAATATGGACAATCAGACAAAAATCCTGGTTAACAGGATAAATGAAAGGATGCAAAAGGTGGATAATTCCATCGATGAAAAAGCACAGAAATTGTTCAAAATAAGAGATGAACTCTCAAAATTGTCTGAACAAGCTCGAATGTTACAATTCGAAATAAATCAACTCAGCACAGACCAAACTGAAAATATGAGAGAATTTTTACTTCTCTGTGAACATTTGGATACACGTCCAATTCAGAATTCAAATCTGAAAGAGATTATCAATCTCAACAAGGTGGCAGGAGATGTCCCACCAGCACCTAGTTCAAAAAACATCTCGATGGTACGCATGGATATGTCATCTTCATCCAAAAAGGATGTAAGAAAAAGCCGAGCAAATGAAGCTTCTAGCTCATCATCAGTGAAAACTGAAAAAACATCTGGAAACCCAGAAAATAAAACTAACCCAGAGTCATCTGGAGCAAAAGTTTTTTCTTCTTTGTAGGTACATTCAAAAGAAGAAGAATATTTAAAATTTACAAAATACATTTACAATCTCCCCGAACACAGTGGAGAAACCTATGGAGTTTTGGGAACTACCAGTTTATTTCCTAGAATTTTCATATTTCCAAATGGGATTCCGAGCTTTACAGCTCAATTATTTGAGTTTGTATTTTTAGATCGTGTTTACACAAGTCCAGATCTCAGAGAATTATCTCAACTACCCTCCAGATTGTTCAACGCAATCAGAAATTTCAGCCAAGGCGATGGAGGAGTATACTGTAGATGCTATAGTATTGCAATGGAAGGTCAAGATTCTCAGGCCTACTATCCAACTCTCAACTACATATCAGTTGAGAAAATAAAAGATTTCAATGTTAAGGCTACGGGAGTTGATAAAAAACTTCCTTTTCTTAACACAAAATAGATACAAACCAGAAGGGCATTAGGGATAAAAGTCTTATATGCCATTTTAAATAGGCTTTTCCGAGATAATTTCACGGTAATTGATCAAGATTCTGACTGGGTGTTAATTACTAAAGGAAATTCAAAGTCAGAATTACTTAAAGAAAGAATTCTTGATATCGAGCTCCATAGATTAGGGGCATCAGAAAAAACTTGGAAGCTAGCATGCAAAATGTTAGAACATGAGCACAATCGATAAATGAAGATCGATGAAGAAGAAAGACGTAAGCACTTACGTAAATGAACAAAAACGTAAGCACTTACGTTTACAAAAGAAGAAAAGGACAAAATACTTTTCTTTTAAAAAGAAAAAGCAGATGCTTTGTCGGCCAGAACAAAAAGCAGCCCATGTGAAGAAAGAGAAAGACTTTTGACTCAGATGAGTCTAGAAAGGAATCTTTAAAGGAATACCCTTTAAAGATAAATAATTGTAACATAAGTCCCTCCTTATCATCTATAAAAGGAGAGAGACATTATTGTAATAGGTAGAGGTCTTAGAAGTGAGAAAATAAGTTTTAAAGTAAGAAAGTCTTAAATATGTGTGAGTAAGTTAGCTTCTCCCGCTAGGGAAAAGTATTTTTATTTAATGTTTTGCTAAGATAAATACTTATCTTATGTATGTAATATTGAAATATATGAAATAAAAGTTTGTTTACATGTCATTTTTCTCAAAATTGATAAAAAGTCGAAGTGGAAGTTGCGATTTCCAGCCTTTAGGAGGAATAGCTAGGAAAGTAGCCGTAATTGAGAGAAGAAGGCGAAAAATGCTATTCATGGCCGAAGAGGAGAAATGCTGAGGCATTGATAGGACTGATTATCAACAAGAGGAAGAAGGTACAAAAACCTAACTTTTATTACGTATTTTATAATATTATATACATAATATAAGTTGTTATCTTAATTAAACGCTAATAAAAATTACTTAGTACCTGTAGGGATTTAAACATATCATGTTTTACAGAATGTTTTGCATAAATATATCATGCTAATTGCATAAAAATAAATAAAAATGAAATCTATACGACGACATTTACATAGCGTAAAAAAAAGAGCATGGACACATAAGAAAGCCATACATCATATAAAAAAGGCAATTTATGAAATGGAAAAGGTATTAGAACATACCAATTATAGATATGAAAATTTAATCACATCCATTTATGAGATGAGAATGTATAAAATACAAGAACAATTTGAGTATAAGACTGCTATACTCATATTAAAAAATAATATGATTTTTACTGCATAATAATAAAAAATTTAATCACATCCATTTATGAGATGAGAATGTATAAAATACAAGAACAATTTGAGTATAAGACTGCTATACTCATATTATAAGACTGCTATACTCATATTAAAAAAATAATATGTTTTTTACTGCATAATAATGAATTTTATAACTGTTTATATTTACAGTTTTTCTAGTATTACCCTGTTAATATGACAGTTGTTTTACTAGTTTTACCCTGTTAAGATAACAGCTACAAGAAAATGGTATCAGAGCCAAGTAACGAATAAAATGGACAAAAATATTAAACCATTTTGGTATATAGAAATTGAAACACTTGTCACAATTTTACAAGTAATAAGAAATTTAGATGGAGATTTAAAAAGAAAAATAATAAAAATAATTGTTTGGTATAATAAAAGACAAGTAGAAAGATATAATATATGGTATAATGATTTTGATAATAATTTGTATGATACATCTGATTGGCATTATTCAGACTAATGAGTCTTAAAGAAATATCAGATCCCTTAAAGGACCTCATAGAGAGTAATAAACAAATATCATTAAGAATAAGAATGATAGAAATAGAAATAAAATATATCAAGGAAAATATTCCAGGAAAAGTAACAAGTTTTATAGAAAAAATTGACAAAAGAATTAGTCAAAATTATATAAAAGAATTATTGAATAAAAAATCAACAAATGCAAAAGGGAAGTATGGATGAAATATTAATTAAAAAATTCCTTGAAAAACAAAAAGGAAAAGAAAAATGTATAGAAGATGAAAATAATTTAGAAACAAATCATAGCGGAAATCGCAACTTCTGTAAAGAAAAGGAAGTTTTTTATCAACTCCCCTAGCCTTAACATTGAAATCTTTTATTTTCTCAACTGATATGTAGTTGAGAGTTGGATAGTAATCTGGAAACCCAGAAAATAAAACTAACCCAGAGTCATCTGGAGCAAAAAAAAATTTCTTCTTTGCAGGTACATTCAAAAGAAGAAGAATATTTAAAATTTACAAAATACATTTACAATCTCCCCAAATACAGTGGAGAAACCTATGGAGTTTTGGAAACTACCAGTTTATTTCCTAGAAAATTAATTAATTAAAAAATAATTTAAAATCAAAATTTATATTTTTATTCTCTCTCCTTCATTCTTCTTCGCCATTTCTAGGCTCTAGCGCTTCATTGCTCTCTGTTTTTACCTTTTCGCCATTCAATATAAATCCACCCACCCCCACCCCTAATTCCCCTCAAATTTGCCTTGAGGGAAAATGATTTTTGTTAGAAACTATTTTTGTCTTCAGAATTTAAATAGAAAATAAATTTATTTAAGAATTAATTTGATTAAATTTCATTTTATAAAATTAATTTGATTTAAATCTATTAAAAAATTTAATCATATGAAACTATGAATATCCTTTTAACATAAAAGATATAAAATACATATTAATAACTCGAGATAATCTCTAGAATTTAGTATTAAAAAAAGGCAAATGTCAGATTATGCTTTCTAAATTATTTTAACATACAGCTTTATTTTTTTCATTTATTTTCTGGTTAAAATCTTGCGAACTACCTTTGACTTGCTGAAAAAAATATATTGTCTAATAGTATTTGTAAGATGTTTTAGCATAATTTATGTTTAAAAATAAAGTTGGCCTCCTTTTTTTTCCTTAATTATTTTGCTGCTTCTTTACCCGATGATCTTATTACATCTCAATTTATGATTTTATTGTGTCAACTGAGAATTTTTATTTTAGATTAGAAAAATGATGTTAGTAGATATGTAAAACATGTATCATGAAAATAATTATATTAATGAGGAGCCAAAATTAGTGAAAGATGAGATTTTCTTATAAATTTCTTACAAAAATTAGTGAATTTTCTTTTTCTAAGTTATTTTTTAACTATGTTTACAAGACTTGTTAAAAAAATTTAATCTATGCCTTTAAATTTTTAAATATGACAATTGTTAACTCATTTAAATAATCACTTGAAAAAACGGAAAAAAAATCTAACAAAAATAAATCAAGTCTTTATTCCTTAAAATAAAAAAACATATAATTTCATATGTTTCACCGCATCAGTTTGATGGTCACCCCAACTTCAATAATAGCTGTCATAAAAAACCATAACCACCCCAACAATTTTTTTTCCAAATATTTGATGTAAAGGCCATTTTCACTAGTATATCTACCTCTTTATTGCCTCTCTGAAAGATCACTTACCTTCACACCACTAAGGATCAGTTTGGCCCCAAATATATTTGAAAACTTTAAAAAATGATATTTGGTCATATAATTTGTTACTATTTAATAAATATATTTGTCAAATATTCTTGAGTTTTCAAATACTATAAAAAAAAAATTGGTGTGAATACAATTTTAATATTTAGAAATTTTAAATTTTAAAATTACCTCAATTTTTTATATTTTATAAAAAAAATAACCATAATTTAATTATTTCAACTAATATTTATCCATCAAATTACTCCATTAATAACTAATAACTAATCCTCTTTGCTATCTATACATAACAATGTGGAATAACTAAGAAGTTTGAATATGCTATTGATGTATATTGTTCTTGTCCATATTGTTATTTTGTTATTGCTGATTATATGAAACTCGAGGATAGCGCTATAACTTTATTGCTGATTGTTATCGATTATGTTCTAGGGTTATTTTTAATAAAATATGTTCATTATAAAATGCTAATATTAACTTAAAGGGTACTTTAATAATTTTTACAACTTATAAGCATAAGTCATATTTTTTAGAATAATCAAATATTTCTTCCAAAATTTATAACACACCATAAAAGTTGACCAAAAAATAATTTGTCAGAGTATTGGGAATTTGGGGCCAACCACAACCATTCAATTTATTTAAGTTTTACATAAAGTTATTGAACAATACTTTGTAATGAAAAGTCCTTCGGTTTACTGAAGTATCATATAATTATTATTTTAAAAAATTTAATATCATATATTTATTTTTTCAAATAAGTTTCTGCAACGGAATTGCAAGCAAAAATGTATGACCTTTTGCTTACAGACCTTTTTTATTAATTTATATGATACTTCAATAAAAATCGATTAATTTTTTTAGTACAAACATAATTTCAGTAAAATAAAATAAAATCCAAGAACTAACTCCAGTGTTATATATGAAACTTTTACACAACAAGATGAATCTTAATTATTATTGCAATGAAAATAAATTGGTAATTTCAAGAAATTGTTATTTGCTAGGAATAATTTACTTATTTGTTAAATAATAAAAAGTGTAAAAAAAAAACATTTGGACAATGTATATTTGGAAGAATATTCTTGAAACTATTAACCAAAGAGTAACTCACGAAGTGAAAAAGGAAATAATTCATTGTTTTTCCATCTGACTTTAATATTGTTTTGGCTCCAAAAAATTGTACGAAAATAATTAACCCTTTAGGAATTAAAATTGATAATTATAACCATAAAATTACAAAAGTATTTACCTTTTTTCAATAGAAGCAACTTAGAAAAAAAACAGTTGAAATAAGATCAAAAGGTGTAACATACACTAATTGTTCGTTTGTTACCAATACAATACTACATTTTATTCTGTATAAATACTCCTCAAAATATCAGCTGGATCTCATAGTAAACATGGCAGACATAGAAGATGGATGTTGTGAAGCAGCTTGTATTTGTTTTCCACAATTGTCTTTGCATTATATTTTATGGGGATAATGCCCAAGTATCCCCTCAACCTATGCCCGAAATCTCAGA